TATTCGATGTAATTATTCGAATATCAAAATATTACTCCAAGTCTTTCAAAGTTCATTTTAATCCTTACTAAAGTGTAAAATTGTGTTTTATACTTAAACTATTTTAAAACAATTTTACAAAGTATTTCGAACCGTTTCAAAGCCAAGAAAAATCAGATTGTCCAGGGGGTACAGATTCCCCCCAGGGGGAACAGATTCCCCCCCAAGGGGTACCGATTCCCCCCTGTCTAACGGTCAAAAACATATTACACTTAGAGAACCGATTCCCTATGAGGGGGTACCGATTCCCCCCACGCTCCAAGCTGTTTTATTAATTGTTTCTCATCTCCAAACGGCTCCAAAACATCCCCAATGGCTATATACGACTTCAAACACATTCCAAGCTATAAATACAACCTAAGGACACTTGAAGATTTAAGAGAACAACTATCCAAGCAATCAAACACAAGAGAAGAGTTTTTCATTCTTATTTCATCTTTCTCTTGTATATATTTTGTTCTTGTGAGCTCAATCTTGTAAACACCTACCTTAGAGAGGTTTTCTTGTTTACATTTCTTATCCTTTTGTAAAGGGGAAAGGTTCTAGCTAATCCCGTGTAAAAGCTAGGGAAAGGTTCTAGTTTAGCCCGAAAAAACTAGGGAGTTTGTAAGGTTACTCTTTATCCTCAAAAGAAAGAACAAATTAGTGAATTTGTTGGAAAATCCTTGTTGAGGAGCTAAGGTAGTGGACGTAGACTTTGATTGAGAAAGTCGAACCACTATAAATCGCTGTGCAATTCTCTATCTTTCAATCTCCTTACTCCATAAACACAAAACCGTTTCGACCCCTCTTTGCAAACCGTTATGGTTGTCGATTCGAGCTTCCGAAAATCCTAACATATGCCAATTAGATGAACGGTTAAGTACCGTTGAGTAAAAGAATAATAGCCTAGTTGTGCATTTGACAGAAAGGTGTTAATTATGCTAGTTAGATGAACGATTAAGTACCGTTGAGTAAAATAATAATAGCCTAGCTGTGCATTTGACAGAAAAGGTGTCAATTATGCCAGTTAGATGAATTGTTAAGTACAGTTGAGTAAAAAAATAATAGCCTAGCTGTGCATTTGACAGAAATATGTCAATTATGCCAGTTAGATGAACGGTTAAGTACCGTTGAGTAAAAGAATAATAGCCTAGTTGTGCATTTGATAGAAATGTGTCAATTATTCCAGTTAGATGAACGGTTAAGTACCGTTGAGTAAAAGAATAATAGCCTAGCTATGCATTTGACAGAAAGGTGTCACTTATGCCAGTTAGATGAACGATTAAGTACACTATTGAGTAAAAGAATAATAGCCTAGCTGTGCATTTGACAGAAATTTGTCAATTATGCCAGTTAGGGGAACGGTTAAACACTATTGAGTAAAAGATGAACGGTTAAACACGGTTGAATAAAAGAATAAAGGAATTTTAATGTATTGTGATATGAATGGTGCATAAGTGATATGAAGGGATGATATATATATATATATAATGTTTAACAATCGATAACTAGTATGAATGGATGTTATAAGGAAAACGTAAACGGAATAAAATGGGCATGAAATGATGCCCAAATGAAAATAAAACGTAAACGGGACAAAATGGGCATGAAAGGATGCCCAAATGAAAATACAAAATGGTGTATTAATAGTATTTAAGGCACTGCCATAATGATTATAAAAGATACATGATCAATTGTCATCTTGGTGTGATACATGTGTAGTACTTTCACATTAAATGTACATAAGGCAAATAAAGAATAATGGGGGGAAAGATACAGAATAATATGTATGATAGACATATTAAGGATAATTCCCTTGATGGTATGAAAGAATTATGGGTTAACTGAGAAGGACTTAACTAGTTCTTATGAATGATGTAATTAAATTCTTCATTCACTATTCATAAGATATTGTCGTATAATTGTAATATCTTTACAGTATTATGTCTCACTAAGTAAATACTTAACGTGTGTTTATTTCACACGTAGGTAAAGACAAAGATTGGTTGCGTAAGGAATGTAGCAGTAATAGCAGCTTTCATCAATTAAAGGTTGACTCATCAGTAACATTATGACAATCTTATTCATTTTGAGAACTTAGTGGCATGTAATTAGAATTGCCCATCCAGCTCAGTTGGTAGAGCGCAAGGTTCTTAACCTTGTGGTCGTGGGATCGAGTCCCACGCTGGGCAATTCATAATTCTGACTGCCGGAGGTCTTCCACAGAAGTTGCTCTCAACTTGGCGTTGGGAGCAGCCTACTACCTTACCTCCCCCTCATCCCATTACATATGGGAATAGGGTCAGCGAATATAGTTGGCATGTAATTAAACTATAGTAAATATTTTGTAATGTACTTAAGTGATAGTTTAAGTATGTTGTTTTCTATAAATATCATATTTTGTAGTTGTTCAAATTGAAACAAAATTTTATGGGTTTTCAAATGATATTAAGTTTTATAAAGTAATGTGACCTCTATATCTCGTGTACGGAAAGGTATATGGGATATGGGTGTTACAGTATGAGCTATGAGAGTAGCATAAACAATGGGTTTTAGATAATAACTAAGCCTAATCCACTTTTAAACAAGGCTAGGATTTCAAACGACTAAAAGTAGTGCTCGGTCGATAGGGTAGATGTTAGTGCGAATATTGAATGGTATTGCCGTGACATATTCTTTTAGACTGATGAGATCCATGCACATGCTAACCTCAATAGGTATTGCCATGGCATTCTCAAACTGTCGAGTCCCTTGACTAGAGATAGCATAGGGCACTTTTAGTAAACTATGTCGGGTAAATAAAACATAGAAATGCGATCATCTTGAGAGGTTAGTCTTAAGTTTCCTAGTGACTCCTATCATTCATTCCCGTTGCAGCTTGTTGTGTGAGGATTATCAAACTATCATTTATTTATTGTTTTATCATTTTTTATTGGCTTGACATTTTTATCTTTTTCATCATTATACTCTGCTCTATTTTTCCACAACATCACTGTTTGTTATCACATCACACTATTATTTCATTCTCACCAATACATATTGCCTTGACATTTCTCATTGGTACATATCATTACTAACTATACTTAGAATAGTGCTTTGCTTTGGACAAACTTTATAATTTCCATCAATCCATGTGTAGACGATACTCACTCATCACTTTATTACTTGAGCGATTGCGTATACTTGCACATTATTTACGTATAATTTTATAGTACTCGCAAAAAGCGAACAACAACCTTTAGGAATCGTCACTGTTTGCATAAAATAATTCATAATAGTTAAAATAGTGGCTCTTTCAAGAGTAGCCCTTCCTGCCATTGAAAGTTTGGTCGCATTCCAATTGTTAAGCTCTTTCCTAACTTTATCAATGATGAACTGAAAAGTGATTCTTGTGACTCTTTTGTGGAATAAAGGCATTAGTTGCCGAGATCTTTAGGCAATTGGAATCCTAAGGAACTACAAACGTCGAGGGCCTCATTATCAGTGGCCTTTTTAGAGAGGAAGATTCTGGTCTTACTGGAGTTAACCCGGTGCCCAGAGAATCTACTGAATCGGTCCAACATTGCCCAAATGAGATTGCTTTGGCTCGGGTCCACCCTACAAAAAAGAATTAAATCGTCAGCAAAAAATAGGTGAGAAGAGGAAAGCCTCCTCTAGAGAGACGCATAGGCTTCCAAAGACCCATATCCATGGTATAATGTATGTTGTGAGCAAATCTCTCCATGCACAGGACAAACAGGTACGGAAAGAATGAACATCTTTTTCGGATGCCCCTAGTCTGCTTAAATTCTTTAGAAAGAATTCTGTTCCACAGAATTTGCATTGTAGATGTCGAGACTGACTCCATGATGATACGTCTGATATTATTCGGGCATCCCATATCAATAAGAGAGTCTTGAAGAAAATCTCAACCAACTCGATCAATAGCCTTTTCCAAATTGAATTTGACAGCCATCCATTTAGTTTTCCCCTTTTTGGTTTTCATAGAATGGATTGCTTCTTGAGCGATGAGGATATTGTTTGTAATACTGCGACCTGCAATGAAACCTAGGAGTAGTAATTTTTGGAAAAATTACTTTGAACCTGTTAGCAATAATTTTCATGACAAATTTATACAAAACATAACAAAGACTAATCGGCCTCAAATCAGCAAAGGAAGTCGGGTTATTAATCATAAGAATAAGGACAAGTAAAGTACTATTGAGTTCAGGTTTGATACGGTTACCGTTGAAGATCTCTTTTACCCACATGCAGACTGAAGGCCCCACTGTCGCCCACTGGTTTTGAGGCCATCTTTACACGGAGACTTGAGAGGGTTCATGTCAAAAAGGGCTTTTTTTTAATCTCTTCATTAGTAACTTCAGCATCCAGACTTTCCACATCGCTAGGTGAAAGGGAGGGAAACATGCCTCTGATCGGGAATTGACCGACTCTATTACCTTCATCACGGTAAAGCTTTGCAAAGAATTCGGTTGCTTCCGTGCGAAATTCATTTTCATCATAGCACCAATCACCATTTGCAAAGCTTGAATCCGATTCGCACGTCTCCTAGACGTCGTCTGATTGTGGGAGAATTTCATATTTCGGTCTCCCTTCAACTCCCAGGTGCTTCTAGATTTTTGTTGCCAGAAGGACTCCTCACGATCCAGAATTTCCTCAAGTTTGTTTCGAACTTCCATCTCCTCGGCAAGAAGGTTCGGGTCATTTCTAATAGCGAGCTTGCTTTCAATGTAAGTGAGCAGCTTCTTTAAAGCGCGCTTCTCCTTAAAAATGTGTCCGAAGACCTCCTTGTTCCAAGTATTGAGATCATTAGCAGGTTTCAGATCACGGTCCGAAAACGTGATAACGCTCGTGAAATAAGAGTTTCGTCGCCGTCCGGGTTACCCACCACACCCGTAATAGCGCCCGCGACGGCCACAATAGAGCCCATGACGGCCATAATCACGGTAAATCCGAAATGATCGAAAATACGATTGTGATCACGATTTAAAACCCTGATCATTAGTACTATTACTCAGAGAGTTAATGATATTACCTTCACTGTGCCAACCGCCACGAACGAACTGATTGAAGTCCAGATGCGTAGTCCAACTGGCAAGGAACCGAAAGGGTTTAACTGTCTGGGATAAAAGGCGGTTCGAGGGCTGGAGAAGAATCGGAAGATGATATGATTTGAGCCGAGGGAGGTGGATGACCGAGGCTTTCGGAGCAAGCTCTGTCCACTTCACATTGGCTACCATGCGGTCGAGTCGTTCATAGATCATCCCACGATTCCAAGTAAATCGAGGACCTTTAAAACCCAAATCACGAAGATGGTTTTTGTCTATAAATTCTTGAAAGTGTTTGCACCCATTCGTTCTAGTGGAACCCCCTCTTTTCTCGGTATTGGAGAGAATGGCATTGAAGCCTCCCGCAAGAACCCAGGGCACACTTATGTTATTATGACCTTCATTAAGATCCTTCCAGAGCGCTTTCCTTTTGTTCTTCTTTGGGCTACCATAGCAGCCAAATTGTGACTTTAGTGTGGATGAACTGGGGATGTGCCGCCACTATGGATACAGAGATAGTTTCGTTCCAAAGCAGCCAAATGTCACCCAAAAACCCCGCAGTTTCAACTCTATAGGATCTGGCAAAACGAGTGCGGTTGATGGCACTATCGGCTTTACGCCCACTAATACGGGTTTCCAACAAGGCTAACATATGAGGCTTATGGTCCTGAGTATACTCTTTAAAAGATCGGAGAAAGCGATGACTTCCGCAACCCTGACAATTCCACGTCATTAATTTAAAATCCGTAAGGAAAGGCATAAGAGAAGGGACCTTATTGAGTGTTGTTTATAGCAACGACATTCTGCTCCATTGCATCACTGGGGACTTCAAGATGTCCTTGGATGCTTTGAATAACGTTAGCCATGGCGTCTCTAGAAAGAGGTCCAATTTGGGATTGGCTACGGATTTTAATCCCTTTATGTCGGATCACATATGGGGACGCTCTACTTCTCGATGAAGACACTCGTCGACTTTTGGATTTGGCTTGATCATTCTGAGTGTTAGCAGTTTGCCCTTTTTTAAAGATGATGGCCGTATGAGTTGAAGGGTTTAGGGTAGTCTCTGACTGCTGTCCCTCAAGCCCAAGAGAATTGTCAAAGATTGGGTTCGTACTGGAAGTAAATTTTGAACCATTCAGCTGAACCATCTCACTGTTGGACGGCTCAGCTGCTTTACTGGAAATGCTAGTTTGCATGGCTTCATCTACGTGATTTTTCTGCATGGTAATAGTAACTTTGTCATTAGTTATGGGTTCTCAATTGGAAGCAATACAAACTGGCTAGAGCTTTTGTGGCTTGTGGGCCCCGACTGCATAATTGGTGCCTCCTTAGATTTAGCATGGTTAACTTTCTCCTTTCCACCATTATAGGAAATCCGATTGTGATTGCCAACGGGATTGGAACCCAGCTCAATTTGTTTTGGGTTATTAATTGCTGCATTAGGAGTCATTTTGTTTCCATCAACATTTCTGGAATGTTGTACACCAGGAGCGATGCTTTGATTTGTTTCATGTTCCTCCTCGTTTTGGACTGGGGTCGTTCCATTAGGACTTCCGCATTTAGGGCAGAAAATCGAGATCCTTGATTTTTAGCTGGTTTGTTCTGCTCCGATTTCTTGGTCACTCTGGTGGGATTCTTTCGGCGTCTTCGATCGACAACCATCCAGGGACCATAGGGTGAAAATTTCTTAATTTCCAACTCCTTGTTGGCACTATTGTTATCAACGTCGGATTCATGATCACACCGGAGTCACTGACCATTTGAGAATTTTTTGAGGTATCAGTATGATTGGCAACAACAGCTTCGCGGTTAGTGGTGTGAGCAGTACATGCCTCCCTGAAATGTCCGAAACGACCACATTCGAAGCAAATGAGTGGAAGATTTTCATACTCAACTACCTGAACCTTATTCCCCACCACCATCTTAGAGATCAGGGGTCGTGTGAGGTCAACGTAAACGGCCACTCTGGCGAACTTCCTTCTGTTGCTGGCGTGCTTATGGAAATCCAGTTTAGCCACTTTTCCAACCAGGCTACCAATACCAGTGAGAATCTTTTTATTTTACAAGTATTCTGGTAGTCCAGGGAAACGGATCCAGGCAATGACCGTCTTAAGGTAAGTTGTGACGTACTAAATCCATTGTCCATGGCTGCATCGTCAAAAACCGGCCATAGATAATCCATGGCCCTTCGGCTGTTACTTTGACAGTCCTCCTCAGATTGAAAACGCGCGAGATAGTATTCGTTCTCCAAATCCATCAGAGTGAATGGTTGGTAGGGTCGCCATAGAGCATACGTTTTGTTGTTGAGGGCATTCAGACCTATATTCCTTCCCAATAGCTTGAGAAATCACTGTTTTCGTCATGGTTGCTTGTAAGAGTTTGTAGTCTAAATCAGAAAATTTGATAGACTAGAGACCCATCTGAGTGCCAGTAATAATGTCATCATCTGCAATGTCGATTTCATCCTCAGGAATTCCGTGAGCGTCACTATCTTTGGATCCATCTTGAGACTTCCCGGCCAGCACTGCCGCATAGGACATCCCGTGTGAAGCTTGCACAGACGATTCCATTACCGTGTCTTGAAGAGGGATCTCCTCTCTTTCTTCAAATCGGACTTTCTTTGTGACCACAGAGTCGGTCAAAGTTCCACTATCACCATTGGAGGTTTCAGAGGACATCAATGCCCGCTAGGTTTCCCATGCACGCATATTTTTTAACACTTGATGAATTATCTCTATTGAATTAGGCTCTGACAATTTATCATTTGCTTTATTTGTTGCCCCTGAATTTTGCCATTTGTTAAATTCTTTTGCACATATATTTCTATTAACATTTTTTATTTATTTTATTTAATTATTAATATTCGATTTATTGATCAATTATCTCGAATAAAATATTATATTATTTTCTTTTTATGTTTTGATGGTTCTAGACAAACAAAAGGTTCAACCAAATTACAAAAACAAATGGATCAATCAAAATTCATTTGCAAATTCAATTTGAAGCATTGTTGGAGTATTCACAAATGAAAATTAATACTTACAATTTCATTTTCTTAAATGGTGAATAAAAAAAAGGAATACATTTATATATTTATTATTATTATTATCCCACATATAGAATATAATACGTAGTATATCTTTTTCATAGTATTAAGTGGTATAGCCTACATGGTGGGCTTCTTCACTTCCATCTACACAATAAAACCCCTCAGCCTTTCCCTTTTCCTTGCCCTCCACCGCCGTCGCTGCTTCCACCGCCACTTACTACCACCGTATTATTACACAGATAAATTGACGGAATACGAAAATCTTGTAGATACCAACAACCAACCAGGGTGATCTTTCTGCTTCCTTTTGAAGCACAGAACATAGAAAGAAGAAAGAAGGTAAAACTACAACCCTAATGCAGAGACATCTCATTCAAGGACTTTATAAACTATGCTGGTTCACCTGCATTTGGATCGGTAATTGAATAAATTAGTAATCATGGGCAATCTTTTCCTTTCCTTTCTCTCCTTTGCTCTTTTTTATTTGGGTTTAGTACCCAACTATCACTTTTATTCCGTTTTATTCACTTAACTATCTTTTGTTTCATAATCATACCTAATGTTACATTTTGATTTCATTTCTCAGTAACGATGTGACACGTCAGCATCATTGTTAATTTTTTAATGGTGGGTGATCAAAATGAAACCGAAACGTAATGTTAAGTATGCTTTTGAAACAAAAGATAGTTGGGTGACTAAAACGGAACAAAAGTGATAGTTGGGTACTAATGTGTAGTTTACCCTTTTTTTGGAAGTGGAATAGGATACATGGCCTGAAGAAAAAGTTAAAAGAAAAGAATAAGAAAAAGGAAAGCAATATTAAATAATGCAGAGATGCTATAAAGATGGACTGATTCTGTTGTTGACCTTTAATTTAAAATCATATGGTAAAGCACAAATGTATTGTATGATGCTGACATTCAACCACATTTTACCAGGCTGTGTAGGTAGCAGGATTGAGCTGTAAGACTTGTAAACTAACGTAATCCGATGCTGGTACTGAGGTTAAATTCATATATGTTACTATATTTCATTCGGAAACTCTGTAAACCAGTCGAGCTGATCCCGGAATTCAATTTTGACATGGTTGCAGCTTATAACATGCAGAAACGAGGAATGTACCTTTTTCGTCGTTTGAAGTTTCGTATATCGTGTGGGAAGCGATGGTGTTGTGTTCATAGTCGGCAGGTGGTGAAACGAGAATCCTGTCCGATCGCCTCGAGCATTTGGCATGCAACTTCAAGCAACTTCCCTGTCAAGAACATTTAGGCTTATTCAATATTAGGCCGTCCCAACCATGTTTCTCATTTTAAATGAGGAAGATCAATTGAAAGCTACACACCAACTTCATGAGAACAACTACTCATCTAATACACGTATTCGATACATCGAGTATACCTACATCGAGCATATACATGATTTCTAAAGTAACTAATATCGTAACGAATCTCAACCATTGGATTAACAAAATGGCAGGTAATGGTGAACAAAAAAGATGTTGGAATGATAATTTTATAGGAAGAAAACAAACATGTTAGTAAAGAAATGGTGGTGGAAGCTATTTTCTACAACGAAAACAAGTCAAAGAAAATTATATTGTTGTTATGCTGCAACTTTCATGCTCGACTAACCAACTAATTCCAAAGCACCAACCGCAAATATATATATATATATATATATATATATATTCCCTTACCGACACTTCAATTTTAATTTGGCATCACTTGACTCATCAAAACTCTTAAAGACAGCTACAGATTCCCATACTTGCTTAAAATTTTGATACCCTAAACCTTTAAATCAAAGATTGTTGTATGCTTAAACACTCAATTCAAGCCCTCTCGAATGTTATAACAATAATGATGTCAATCGAACTAAAAACCGATCATCGAATGCCTCCAACTATGTCCCTCACACTCATATGTCAAGCAGCATTCATATATCGATATGATCCTTTAAATATATGAACAAATTTATAAAAACGAAATATATCGATACTGAATACATACTCGTATCCGACACGATAATTACTCGTAACATAATAAAAATATGTAACCATAAATTTCCATCCCAACAACCAGGTTGATGTAAGGCTAGATAACAACTTCAAGTCTTCTAGTTAGTCGTATGAAATTGCAATAAAAATAAGAGAATAATAAGAGGTTAACTTATTAATTAATTAATTTAGAATAATGATTTCAACAGAATTAATCAATCAGTTTCTGAAAGAATAAAACTATACATTAAATTTGGTTTTTATTTTATTTTTGAATTTTATTTTGGTAAGCTCATAACATCATTTCAGTTGGAGCTATTATAAAAATGGTTAAATATTTTTGTTCTTTATATGCTAACTTATGATTAATATTTTTTTATATTTTGAACAAATATTAATGGAGACAACAAAAACAAACAAAGAAACGGACAATTCTACCCTCTAAAACGCACCGACAGTTTTCTAATTACCCACCAAATATTCCCCGGCAACCAGCGTTGCCGCCGCCGCCGCCGTCACTATTCTCAAACCCCCAAATCAATGGATCAACGATATACTTAGCAGTCAATTTAATGTAAAATATTGATAATAAAGATAATGGAATTTAGTAATTTACCTCTTCTGGGTTTAACGGCGGCAACTTTGATGATTTTCTTTTCCTCCTTAGCTTTCTCCTCCGGCGGGAAAA